ATTAAATGACCAATTTAGGAGCCCATTGGAAAATTACCGGGTATGTCCGAGTTGACTGATTGTACGTCAATTGTGCTTAATTGTGGTTGATTTCGTACTGCTATGTCGTATGTGGTGTGGCTGATTTTGTGGAGTGCGATTGGCCATTGTTTGGTTTACAATGATTTACTGATTTGTGAATCGCACGTTAGGCCACACGGCATTAATTGGGTCAATTAAGCACGTGTTGTGACATTGGGTGTCTGAATTATATTGGTGCTCGTGGTGCATTGCATTGCATAACATGGGCACGCATTGCGTATGCCAAGAGTGAGGCATGTGATGAAATTGTGCGAGAATGCGTGTCTGCCATGAGCATGTGATCACCTAAAATACCCTGAAGCGTTATACGCTGGGTTCAGATAATAATGAGTTGTGTGATCACCTAAGGACCTTTGGGTCATGACCTTCGGGTCGATACCGTCCTCATCCACTTTGAAGCAGGACGATGCCTGGTACGTCCGGAAGGCGACCATCCTCATGCACTTTGAAGCAGGCTCTGGTTCGCAAGGAGATCGTGTTGCGCCTCATGCACTTTGAAGCGAGGCTAGAGACACCGGCCGGATCGGTTCTTGCGCCTCATGCACTTTGAAGCAGGCTAGACGCACCGGGCCGTGAAAAATTGATGACTCGAGTCGTAATAATAATTAATTGGGCAAGTGTGCCAGTATGGGCCAGTGGGCCGGGAAATACACGTGACATGTCGACGACATTTGCATGCATGAACATGCATGGACTGGCATGCGAGTGTGTGAGCCTCGGTGCATGAGCATGTGATTGGCGTACGTGTGATAATATGTGCCACGTACGTGCCGTGATTATTATATATTGAACTGCCTAACCTGCAGGGTCGGAGGATTAATTGATTATTATTGCACTATGGTTTCACTTATTTATTTTTCCGGTCAGGAGATTGCATGCTAGCCTAGCCTAGGTTTAGGGGTTGAACTCACTGAGATTCGTCTCACGGTTGTGTAAACCGAAACATTTTCAGACCCCCAGCAGTAGGATGCCGAGGTCACCACCTCTTTTTGGAATACCGCATTTTATCCAGCAGTCGTCGAGCATGCACCCCGGTGGGGACGAAGCAGAACGGAGAAGTGGCTGTTTGGGTTATTCCCAGCTGTTGGTGTTTCCTTTTTGGTTGTCGTGAACACTGTAAAAAGAGTTTTAAAATAGTAATATAAGTATGTACATATTTTCTGCGTTGATCGTTGTTTATTGGATGGCTATCCTTGGCTCATATTGTAATTGTCTGGGTTTGTTTATTTTATACTTCCGCTTGTGCTTGATCTCTGTATGGGCGTGGGTCAGCGACGCTTCCTGGGACGTCGCAATTTATCGACCAAAGGTGGGATGCTCACGCTTCGTGGGGTACGGGGCGTGACACGTACGGACGCGGTGAACAGTACCACCCCCGTACGGGGACACTGTACGGACAGGCTGGGACGGTGCCGGCGAGGTGCCGGTGATAGCCGCGGCGTCCGTACGGCCCGGCGTGAACAGTGATCCGTACGGACGGTGAACAGTACCGTACGGGGGACACTGTATGGACGGTGCTGGGCGGCGACGTATGGACGTGCTGGACGGCTGGGTGTCGACGGAACGGCGATCGGAGCTCCGGCGAAGCTCCGACGGTACTGTTTACATAACGGGAAGAGAGAAAAAGAGAGAGAGAGGGCTGTTCTGGATTTAAACCGGGGCCGTGGTGGCCGAACAGTGAGAGGGTGGTCCAAGGGTGCTTTGTGGCGACGGCCGGTGGGCGGCCGCCGGCTCCGCCGGCACTGTTCCGGCGTGAACAGTACCAGAAAATGCAGTAACCGAACTGCAGAACAAGAAACGGAGAAGAAGAAGAATTTGCACGGGGAAATGACCGAATAGGCTGAGAGGAGAGAGAGAGGGTCTGGTCAAATAGGTCAAAGATGGTGTGAGTGGAATCCATGTGTCTCAATCTAGGCCAATTGGATAATTTTGCCCTTGATCCAATGGCTATCTTTCCTTCTCATCCAATAATTTAGGGGTAAAATGGTCCTTTGTCCCTAACCAAGGGCCGACCAGACCTAAATTAAGTTAACTCACCTTGGTTAGAACCCCAAAAATTTTCTAAATTCGGAATTGTCCAAAAATGGCCTAGGGGCATTTTCGTAATTTTCCGATCCCAAACCGAAATTTCAATTTTCGCACATACGTGTTCCATATGTGCGTGGCCAACATAATATGGCGTCGGAATCGCGAAATTCATCGCGCAAGCCCTCGAAAATCCACGTCAAAGTTTCGGGAATAAAATAATATTATTTTTCCAATTTTTGTCGAAATTCCAATTTTTGGCCAAAACGACTCCTGGTATGCGTGGCCACCCCAAAATGACCTTGGCCACGAAAAATAACCTCAAACGGCCTCTGAATCCAGCCTCGGTGCCCACAGGGGCAAAACCGTAATTTTTCCGGCCCCGGACCGAAATCCATTTTTTTTGCAGAAATGGGTGGCCCCAAGGTTGGCCAAGCCAAAAACGTCATCGGCCGTCCAAAATTGTCACTTTCAAAATTCTCGATTCCCGGGCCCGAATTCTAAGAAATAATTAAAATTGAACAATCGCGACTTTAGCTTATCTCTGGCTAACGGGTGGCTCTCTGGAATTACGCGCTCTCGACCCGTGACCGACACTAAGTCAAATCACGTTTAAGTTTACTCCACCCGGGACGACCTCGGTTGTCATATAATTGCGAGGGTCTGTCGCTAGTTCCCTTCGGACACGATCAATCAAGTAGACCGGTCTCGGTTGGCTCAAAACATTCCCTCGTCAATCAATATGGTCGAAGATTGAACCCAGGTCGAGTTCTTTGGTCGTGCGAACTCAATCCCGTAACGGCCTTACCCCTAAGGTTAGCATCCCGAGAATGCGCATTTCCGGGTGAGATCTCACTATAAGTGCATTGATCAAATTCATTTCCTAAATCCCGGGTAAAGGATCGAAAATTCAGACTGTTACATCGGCAGTATTATATATATCACTGTTACTCAACTTGGTACCCTATGCTATCAATATTGTTAGTCAAGTCCTTCGAATTCGTTGCTACATCGAGGGTAGGCTCCACTATGGGTTACTGCTTCTTTTTGGGCATCTCACTTCTCTCATGTTGTAGCAGGAATCAAACCACTGTCGCTTGCTCTAATATAGGAGCAGAAAATCGAGCTCTTGCTAATACGAGATCATAGTTACTATGGTTACGATGGCGCTGCTTGAAAACATGGGAGTGCATTAACATACAAGAACAGTCATTTATTACAATAATCGATGTGTTATTCAAAAAACATACGATAATGTTTTCCATGAACAAATCAAGCACGTTGAAATAGACTATCATTTCATTTGATATCATGTTTTTCGTGGCGTTGTTCGACTTATCTCTATTCATCCGCTGAACAAACTGATGATATCTTCGTTAAGACACATCCACTTGCACGTTTCTGAGATCTTTTCTCCAAACTTAGGGATGTTAGAAATATATATATATATATATATATATATATATATATATATATATATGTTGTATTTCTCTTAATTGATCATGTAAAGTCTTGTGTACTCTTCATTCGTGAACGACCAGAAATTTACATTTTTCTATTATCACAATTCTCAACTTCCAAGCACATTTTCCGTGAATTTGAGATCTCGAAATCTACAATATGTACAGGCATCGTGGATCCCTCCGAGGACTGTTGCCAACTTGTCGATCAAAATCAAGAGAATCTTGAGAGAAAAAGATTTCAACTACACGCTGCGACTTCCCTCGGCAACTTCACCAGCAGCAGCCGATCCGGAGACACCGGCAGCCTCGCCGGGAACTCCTCGTCCGACTCCCGACTCCGATCGTCCTTGAAGTTGAGCGCGTAGCTCATGAGATCGTACCCGAACTCCGAGGCCGCGATGTGGCCCTGCCTCCTGCACCTCCCAAGCTGCGCGATGATTCTCTAGCACTTCCACCGGATCTCCGGCAGCGGGAGCTCCTAAGCCGTCGAAAGCAGCCACGAGCAGGGCGATCGAGCCGCCTTGTAGCGGTTGCCATTGTCACAGTCCGAGGCGGCCTCATGGCAGACGGCAGCATGGCCGTCGTGGAAGCAGCAGAAGAGGAGGCGGGGAGAGGATGATGGGAGCTTGTGATGGAACAACATTTTGGGTGTGAGATAGAAAGAGAGATAGCGCGATGGACTCGGAGTCTTGGTCTGGTCTGTGCAAGTCTGCGAAGAGAGTGAATGGCGATGAGGAAGAAGATGGAGAAGAAGGATGAGGTTGGTGGGTATTATTTATAGGGTGGACCGGATAAGGACGGCGGCGCGCACCGGCGCGAGCAGCGGAGCAGGGGCAGTGCCAGTGATGAAGAAAACAGTGGGAAGTTCGTGGCATGTGGAGAAGTGGTTTTCTGCGTTAATCCCGCATGGGTTTTATCAATTTTGTTTTTCTTAACTTTCATTTTTTGGGCAGTTTAGTAATTAAGCAAAAGTCGAGGGACAACGTGGCGGGTGCTTCTTCCTTTTCCTCGTCTACGAAAGTTGAAAGATTAAATAATTGTTATTTATTGGTTATCGTATGACAAGTAGGAGGGGTTTTTTTAACATCCACTGCAACTTTAGCGCGAAGGAATCCATGAGACCCGGAGATTTGGTGCGAATTGACCCAACTTTCACCCCTTTGCCCGCCAAAGGAGCAATAGATTTCGTACTGTTTTTATGTCATTCAGTTGAAGGCCAATATATGTATTTGCAGCCACATCTCCAGTTCATCAAAACAGAGGTCCTCTAGTCTCCTCTGAGCATCCCATCTCTGCAGGTTTACGCAATTTCCCCTAATCAACCAAGGTCCAGAACTTAGGACTCTCTGCTTGGTGCCAATCGTGAAACCTGAACAAATACATCTTCTCATTCTGAGGGGTTATAGTAATCTCGCCCATACCATCCGAGGCTTTCCTTCAAACATTAGCTGTGCAGTTCGAGTCAAGCACTTCTCCGACAAGATCCTTCCCATCAAAACCATCTCAGCTTCCTCATCATCAACTTGCTCCAAAACCAAATGATCCCCCAGAAGATTGTCTACCAGAGATGCTTGCGATGTTAAGGGAACCTCTGCAGGCATCCTGTAATGAGAAAAAAGAAATAGATTAGCAGAGAATAAACTCAGAGATGTCGTCGAACAGTTGATAGGGGGCAGTGTGTAGTGATAGGAAAACTAATGCGACGAAACAATGCCAAAAAGACGTAACTAAAAGCAGATGGAAATATCCCATTCTTTTTGGAGCACAAATGCTAGAAAGCTAACATATGAAGATAAGAGAAAAACGGTTCTCCTAATTTTTAGCTTACAGAAGCTCTATTAGTGAACTCTCCTGATTTAAATTGCATACACACACTTATGTGTAATCGATCTTGAGCTTCAGTGGCCGAAAAATCGATCTTCAGCTCCACTCTTTAATGCCAATGATCTTCCACTATTTTTGCAGCGTTCGACTTCAACGCAGGGTTACACGACGTCGTGAACGTGTCAAATGGTGATAACAATAACTACAACAGTGCTTCTATATTCATACACTAACCAACGGACCAGCCAACTTTTCCCTCAACAAAGCCCGCGAGTATTACACCTTTGCTAACAGTGACTGTTGCACTCAAGGCCAAAACTTAGCTATCACCTTCAGTGAAACTTCCGCCGCCCCGAACTCCAGTCCAGCTAGATCCCCGTAACTGCCGGCCCCAACCACTGGGACCACCACATCTCCGCCACCACCAGGAAGTGATCAATGCTTCATATCTCTGTGGGACACTGCTAATCCTGTTCATGTCCATTGCCATAAGCTTATCATGTGAGTTCATTATACATGAGGATCATTATTTCTACTAGATATAGGTGGATTATTGATAGATCGTGAGATGTTGCTCCTCACCGTAAAGTGAATAAACTCGTTAAAATGCTTCTTCTCATAATTCCAGCATTATTCATATACATAACATTGCTCAAACTTGTAATGGTTCATTTCTTTGGAATAAATATATGGTTCTCCTCACAAATTCTGAATTTCGGCTCTATTCGCAGTTCCAATATCATGAAGACCGAGATTATTAGAAAATTAGAATGTGGTAGGAGACAAAACCTTGCATACTAGAAAGTCGTAATGGAGCATCACTAGAACAAATCCTCATTGGTGAAGCGAAAAAATCCCACCATTGGAATGACAAATGAGCAGAATAGTAAATCACATGGTGACGGGAAAACCGGTGTGAATCTTGTTAGGATCAAACTCATCACAAACAATCGATTGAGAACTAAAAATGACAATGAAACTATGAACTCATTCTTGCAGCCTTGCAGCATATTAAATTCACACCTGATGATTATTAGCTTGAAAGAACCCGACGAATTTTGGGGACTCAGAATGCCACAAGCCCAGCAGCATGATCGCTCTCTTTGCCTATGTGTTTTTGTACTTTGCCTCCAGAAGCTTCCTTAATAATCCACACGTCAATCATTAAATTACTTCTAGTAATCATATGAGAACAAACAAGAGAGAAAATTACAATTGCAATATCGCTGAACAATAAAAACCAATTCAAGCAATCAGGAAAAGCAAGCAAATTCACGTCATTCCTGAGTGTGGGATTTCTGTCGCCCAACTTAAGAAACTGAGATGACTATCGTCAAAGGGATTTTCTTAAAGAGTTGCTTGTTCTATCAATGTTTTGTGATTTCCACAGTATCAACATCGTGTATCAACCAGTATGCCAGCCATTAATCAACAGCATAAAAGTTTCACTCGCCATGTAAATTAACTCGCCATGTAAACAAAACAAACTGGATTTCTATACTGTATCGGCGGTTTTGTTTCAACTAAGATGGGCTATTTTCTTCTCATCCCCACTAAAAACTAAATGCCTTGATGTTTTCAAAATTATGATACATCACTTTGGCCGTTCAAATTATGATGCGTCGCTCTGAAAACTAAATAAATGATCCAAATTATTTGCACTATATATGTTAGCACACACATCTTTTGCAAACATATGTGTAGTCGTACAGGCAACTGTTATTCAATTTAACGGCAAAGCGGCTATCTCATGAAAATTCGAAGTTTTTTTCTTTATTTTGATGGTATGGCATAGAGACCTTAATTAATTTAACTTATTTAATTGGAATGGGTTCGAAAAAGTGCTAGAGGCATTGGCTTTATGTGAGCTCAATGCCTTACCATCGCTAAATCACGCGGGTCTTACATGAAATATGCCAAAATCAGTTTGATATAAGGAACCAACTGATGTCATGTTATATTGATATATGATATGCATCATAACCAATTGCAATATGAACTCTTAGTTTACTAAGTTTGAGTAGAATCTACCCCTTCTCAAGTCTATTTTCCAACTAGATGATACTTAACTCAGCCACAACTCGAAATTACAACATGTGGACTTAGTCTTCACGAAATTTCAAAGTGAAAAGTGTGGAATCTTGAAATCACAGGGCGTAAAGAGTTGATTTTAAAATTTGATGTTCTAGATTTTCATTAATGAATTTTTCCTTCTGTTCTTTGGCCAGGTTCATTAATGAAGAAAATTCGAAGATAGTGAACAAAAAATATTAATGTTTCGACCAAAAAAAGAGAAACAAAAAATTTTAATGCCTAAGGTAGACTGAACCCGTTATATTAGTCAGAGGGCGAAAGCCTAACATCAATTTGGGCTTAAACATCAACAAGAAGCCCGTTTTCTGAATTTATCCAACGTGAGGCTCCCTAGAAATGATGACCCAAAGATTAGATAGCGACCTGGAAGTTTTAGTACGATTGTAATTATTATTTGTACCTTTCTCGGCCTTCTGGCTAAGATCTAAGTGTCGATGATTATTTGGCCCTATATTTTCTGGTTTTCTCTTTATTCAGAAATGTCACGCCCCGTACCCCATTGGAACGCAACATCCCATCCCGGTCGATTTTGGTGCGACGTTCCCAGGAAGCATCGCCGACCCAATGCCCAACAGAGAACAAGCACAAGCGGAAGCGATTAAATAAACAACCCTGACAATTATAAAATACGAGCCAAGGATAGCCAAGCAATAAACACGATCGCAGTAGAAAATAGGTACATACTTACATTGCTATAAAAACCTTTTTACAATATTCGTTTATACAACAACAGCAGTCAACACTCATAATAGCAGCCTCTAGGTCAAAAGGGTCAGTGGCTAGGGGTACTGGATGGGACTAAGACAGGCTTCAGTCAAAAAGGTGTACTCGCTTTACTTAGGAGTATTGCTAACCTAGGGACCCCAGTCCGGGTCGGACCCTGAGGACTCCTCTATCGAGCTCTCCTGGGACTCGGACTCCTCGGAATCCATGTCCTCTGCTGCATCACTCTCGTCCACCGAATCCGGTTCTAACTCAGGGTCTAAGTATAATCCCAGCTCGTCCTTGGCTCCTATTTCTTGATCGGATCCCAGTTCCTCAACCTCTCCATCCTGTTCGTGATCTACTTCCATGGCTACCGGCTCTTCTTCATTCTGGTGGTCCAAGGGTTCCGGATCAGCATACAACACTTCAGGTTCCTCAGCCTCCTCGACCATAGCAGCAGGTCCGTCCACGGTTTCGCCCTGGCTGCTCCAATCAGGCGTAGTTGGAGGATCGGAAATCTCACCACTTACCATCTGTGCGATCATGACATTATTCACATCTACCGGGACATCAAAGGTCCTGAGCGGGGGTCCGATTGCTCCGTCGGCTCCTCGATAGCACCAAGCCACATATTCTTGGGTGTGGTAGTGCGCCTCTCCCACATTTACAAACAAAACAGCATAATATCTCACATAGGCTGCTCCATCACCACAGGGGTGCACGCTTGACGACCGCTGAATATTGTGCGGTATCCCAAAAAGAGGTGATGCCCTCGACATTCTACGGCTGGGGGTCTGAAATGTTTCGGTTTATACAACCGTGAGACGAATCTCAATGAGTTCAACCCCTAAACCTAGGCTAGGCTAGCATGCAATATCCTGACTGGAAATAAATATGTGAAACCATAGTGCAACAACAATCAAATAATCCTCCGACCCTGCAGGTTGGCAGTTCAATATATAATAATCACGGCACGTACATGACACATTATCACACGTACGCCAATCACATGCTCATGCACCGAGGCTCACACACTCGCATGCCAGTCCATGCATGTTCATACATGCAAATGTCGTTGACATGTCACGTGTATTTCCCGGCCCACTGGCCCACACTGGCACACTGGCAATCGCCCAATTTATTATTTATTACGACTCGAGTCATCAATTTTTCACGGCCCGGTGCGTCTAGCCTGCTTCAAAGTGCATGAGGCGCAGCAACCGATCTCGGCCCAAGGTGTCTCTAGCCTCGCTTCAAAGTGCATGAGGCGCAACACTGTTTCTCCTTGCGAACCGAGCCTCGCTTCAAAGTGCATGAGGATGGTCGCCTTTCGGACGTACCGGGCATCGTCCTGCTTCAAAGTGCATGAGGACGGTATCGACCCGAAGGTCCTTAGGTGATCACACCACTCATTATTATCTGAACCCAGCGTATAACGCTTCAGGGTATTTTAGGTGATCACATGCTCATGGCAGACACGCATTCTCACACAATTTCATCACATGCCACACTCTTGGCATACGCAATGCGTGTCCATGTTATGCAATGCAATGCACCACGAGCACCAATATAATTCAAACACTCAATGTCACAACATGTGCTTAATTGGCCCAATTAATACCGTGTGGCCTAACGTGCGATTCACAAATCAGTAATTCATTGTAAACCAAACAATGGCCAATCGCACTCCATAAACTCGGCCACACCACATACGACATAGCAGTACGAAATCAACCACAATTAGGCACAATTAACGTACAATCAGTCAACCCGGACATACCCGGTAATTTTCCAACGGGCTCCTAAATTGGTCATTTAATCCAATTAATCTCCCCAAATAATTCTCATTAATCCACTAAATTTCCCAATGATAATTTCTACCAATCCGTCCTCAACCCAGTCTGAAATACCCACTGATACTATCCAAGCTAGTTCAAATTGTACCGATAATAACTAAACCAGTCCAGAAAAACGCACTAACAGTCCTAATTCGGGTTTAGGAATTTTACTCACTTAATCCAAGATCACGACGACGAGGAACGGCGGCCAATCACTGATGAACAGTGAAACCGGCGGCGGAATTCCCGGAGGGGGGGGGGGCGCGTACTGTTCACGCGCACTGTTCACGCGGCACTGTTCACAGTGTACTGTTCACAGTGTACTGTTCGCGCGGTACGGACTTGTACGGATGGCGCGAAAAACGGTGGCCGGCGAAGTGCCGGTGACGGCCGCGACGTCCGTACAGTCGAGATGAAGAGTGATCCGTACGGGGACGCGATTAACAGTACCGTACGGACACCGTATGGACAGGCTGGATGGCGACGCACGGCGAGGCTGGACGGCTGGGTGGTGACGAAACAGCGATCCGAGCTCCGGCGAAGCTCCGGCGACCCTTTTTGCCGGACGGGAAAGAGAAAAAGAGGGAGAAAGAGAGAGAAAGGGAGAGAGAAAAGGCCTGGACAGGGGTGAGGCTGAAGCTGGGGGACTATGTGGTCGACGGCGGGGCACGGCGGTCGGCGGCGGCACTCCAGTGGCCGGCGGCAAACTCCGGCGAAGCCAAAACCAAGAGAGAAAATGGAGAAAAAGAGAGGAAAATGGAAGAGAAGCTGCTGGTGGGGGCTGGTTCTGCCGTGAGGGAGGGCTGAGGAGAGAGAAAACAGTCCAACTTGGTCAAATAAAGCAGCCCAAAGTGCCACGTGTCGCCGATCCGTGAAAAATGACCAAAACGCCCCTAATCTAACGGTTCTAAAGAGATAGGCTTAAATAATTGAGGGGCAATTGGGTCTTTGGTGCCAATAATGCAGCTGATAACCACAGTTACTTATCCCAAAAATTTCCCAAAAATTCGGACCCGAAAACGGCCCAGGGGCAAAACCGTCATTTTTCCGGTCCCGGGGCGAAATTCCAATTTTCGCACATACGTGTTCCATATGTGCGTGGCCAACATAATATGGCGTCGGATTCGCGAAATTCACTTTCTAAGCCCTCGAAAATCGACTGCGAAGTTTCGGGAATAAAATAATATTATTTTTCCAATTTTTGTCGAAATTCCAATTTTTGGCCAAAACCACTCTAAATGTGCATGGCCACCCCAAAATGACCTTGGCCGCGAAAAATAACCTCAAACGGCCTCCGAATCCAGCCTCGGTGCCCACAGGGGCAAAACCGTAATTTTTCACCCCCGGACCGAAATTCCACTCTTTACTCGTACTAACTCCAAACGTGTGTGGCCAGCGTAATATGACGTCAGATTCCCAAAAATTGTCTCTTAAGCCTTCGAAAATCGGCATCGAAATCCGGGCCCAATTCCGTGAACAAAACTCGCTAAACTTTCAATTTCAGGGTCTCTCACTAACGGGCGGCTGTTTAGGATCTACGCGTATCGACCTAGGGTTATTTGACTTACAACGGTCCCGATCATTAAGAGAATGAGAAATCATCACTAGTTCCAGAGGTCGCGATGTTTCGGTTCAGGTTCAGGGCTGGTTGGTCACGTGCACTTTCGGTCTTGCAGAATCACCTGCGATCCGATTGTACATCGTTGGCCATGGCCAAACCAAATCCATCACCTTTCCTAAGATCGGCCCACGTTGGCCCAAAATATTCCCTCATCATATCTCGAGATCGGTGTCCCGTTCACTATCGAGTCCCTGGTCCACGTACCGTTTCCTAGTTAGCCATACCCCATTGGTTAGTATCCCAAGAGTGATCAGCTCCGGGCGAGACTTACCAAAATGAAATGCGAAATATTGTCAATTTTATTGATCCCGGAATTACATCGAAATTCGGGCTGTTACAAGAAATGCTCGATTGTCGATTAATTGTATCCGAAGACAATCTCCGAATGATTAAAAATCTCGGTAGATGTAGGGGTAAGCAAAAAACTGTTCATACCTTTATGTTCAATTGAACCTCTGACAAGACTGCTTTCTTAAATAAATGGAACACAAATCAAACAAATTTGGCTTCAATCATTTTGAAACTGGCCAAACCACGAATCCATATTATATAATCTATGAGGTTCATAATTACTTTTACCATTTATACATGAAGTAAGGTTTTTTTTTTGTTTTTTTTAATTATGAAGTAGGTTTGATGTTCATTTTCGTAATTTATGAATTTTTGTGTGTGGAGACCTTGACGTTGAAACCACATCAAACTGCATCGGACTCATCCCTAGGTACACATTAATGGTTTAAGACACCTCAGCCACTTCTTAAATATAGATCCAGATATAGACGATCATCGGAAATTTCTATCATAAAATTGGCAATCATAAGTCCGAGGATTGAAGGATTATTTCTTTAGGTTCCGAATAGGTAGCAAACCTTGCAGGCTCTTCATACAGTCTTATGTGTTATACAACGATCACTTTCTAATTGATAGCGATCAATTGACAGATTTTATTATTGCATTTCCTGGTCAAAACATAATTGCTTCCTAACACCTTCACATTCCTTATGACGGTATCTGAATTTAAACATTCTGGAGTTATCTTTTACTAAATATTGTTCGTTCGGTTCATTCGTTCGTTTCTACCTTACCAAAAAAAAAAATATTGTTCGTTTCATTGTTCACGTCATGATATACGGCTAGATTTGGTTTGGCCTCTTTAATCAGTTTTTCAAAAGATTCACCAGTCCTGGTGCATTGCTTGTGGTTTAATTTGTCAAATGCTTGAATCTTCAGACTTAATGGATGACTGAATATGTCATTGTCACTTTCCAATTTCTGTCAAATCAATGGCAGGTTTGGGAGTTTTTGGGATGCTACTTGATCAATGATTTGTATGATCTCTGGACTCCAGAACATTTCCTACTTCTAGGACTCTGCATTGTTTGACGCTTTCTCTTGATCAAAAGTTCTGTTGTTACTATTTTCGGCCTCCAAAATGGCATTTGTCACAAGCATTTATGCAAGTTATCCATGGAATTCGCGAAGAGCATACAGAGGATTGGTGTGATGCAGTACTGATCTCCTCTGAGTCAGTTTTTATGTATAGATGCTGAGACTACAGACTGAAACATAGTCTTTTAGTTTTTAAGGTTTAGACACTTGATACAAACAAATTCAGCTGATTCCTGAATGACATCGACCAAAAATGCTCTTCTGAGTCCCGGTTCTTCTCCTTTCTTTGGAAAGACACCTGATACAAACAAGCGATTGAGTTGCGATATGTCCTAATTCAGTTATCCTGCAGAGTTATTGTAGAGTATGAAGTAACAGATACAACATCGTGACATAGAAGCTTGCAAATCTAGATGTAGACTAGTGTTAACAAGATCTGAACTTTTGGCCACTTCATCATATATGTTTGATCTGATCAAGTGAATATCGATTAGTCAAATATTACGGTCGGTTGCTGGAATGATCTACAAATTGAATATAATAGAGAGTAAAGAATTTGTGGAATCGCAGTCCATTATCAAATCATCCTCCTCAATCCCATTACAAAGGTTTGAGCGATGTCACATTCATTCCCACCCTATCCCGCAATCCATTTGGCCAATATCATTGAACTGACCTTTCCTGCCATCGAAAGACATGTAAATGCATCATTTTGGACATTTTCTTCGTCAGTGAATGATTAGTACTGGCTTTCTCTATTTCAATCTCAATCTCACTCACCAACCCCTCAGAAAGTTTTATACTCAGTCGAAGTAACAAAGCTCATCTGGAAATTTTAGCAGAAAGGAATCCACAATGTCCCTGAGATTTGGTATGAATTGACTCAACTTTCACCAGTTTGCCCGCCCAACAAGCAATAGGTTTCGCATTGTTCTCTTTCATTTGGTCTAAGGCCAATCCATGTATTTTGCAGCCACACCTCCAGTTCATGAAAACAGTGGTTCTCCTGTCTCCTCTGAGCATCCCATCCCTGCAGTTTATGCAATCCACCAAGGGCCAGAACTTAAGACTATCTCTGCTTGGTGCCAATCGTGAAACCTGAACAAATACATCTTCTCATTTTGAGGGGTTATAGTAATCTCACCCATACCAGCCCAGGTTTTCCTTCAAACATTAGCTACGCAGCTCGACTCAAGCACTTCTCCAACAAAATCCTTCCAATCAAAACCATCTCAGCTTCCTCATCATCAACTTGCTCCAAAACCAAATGATCCCCCATAAGATAGTCTACCAGAGATGCTTGCGATGTCAAGGGAACCACCGCAGGCATCCTGTAATGAGAAAAAAGAATAGATCAGCAGAGAATAAACTCAGAAATGTTGTTGAACAGTTGATAGAGGCAGTGTGCAGTAATAGGAAAACTAATGCGACGAAACAATTCCAAAGAGACTTAACTAAAATAGAAAGCAGATGGAAATAACTAATGATGATAGCGAATAGGAGGATTATGGATGATCGAGAAGAATGGGGGGTGACGATCATGGAGGAAGGTAGCTGAAAGAAAACATCATTATGATGTAGGGAAAGCTCTTGACAAAGAGAGAAAAGCACTCACAGAGGGGAGAGAAACAAATCTATGTATACCTTCCTGAAGAGAACTCAATATCCCATTTTTATTGGAGCATAAATGCTAGAAAGCTAACATATGAAGACAAGAAAAACAGTTCTTGTAATTTCTAGCTTACAGAAGCTCTGTTAGTAAAATCTCCTGATTTAAATTGCATAGATGTACTTACGTGCAATCAATCTTGAGCTTCAGTGGCCGAAAAATCAGTCTGGAACTTCACTCTTAAATGCCAATGATCTTCCATTATTTTTACAGTGTGCTACTGCAATGCAGGGTCACATGATGTCGTGAACATGTCAAATGGTGCTAACAATAATTGCAACAGTGCTTCTATGTTCATAAACTAACCAACAGACTGGCCACCTTTTCCCTCAACGACGCCTGCAAGTATAACTTTGTCTACATCTTTGCTAACAGTGACTGTTGCTCTCGGGGCCAAAAATTAGCCGTCACCGTTAGTGAAACTTCTGCCTCCCCGACCTCCAGTCCAGCTGGATCCCCGTAACTACCAGCGCCAACCACTGGGACCACCACATCTCTGCCACCACCTGGAAGTGATGCTTCATATCTTTGTGTGAAACTGCTGGTCCTGTTCATGTCTATTGTCATAAGCTCATTATATGAGTTCATTATACATGAGGATCATTGTTTCTACTAGATAAAGATGGACTATTGATAGATTGTGAGATGTTGCTCCTCATCACAAAGTGAATATACTCATTAAAATGCTTCTTCTCATAAGTCCAGCATGATTCATATGGATAACATTGCTCAAACTTGTAATAGTTCATAAATTTCTTTGGAAAACATATATGATTCTCCTCCAAATTCTTAAGTCCGGCTCTATTAGTAGTTCCAAAATCATGAAGACCAAGATTATTAGAAAAATTAGAATGCGGCAGGAGACAAAAACTTGCATATACTGGCAAGTCGAAATAGAGCATCACTAGAGCAAATCCTCATTGGTGTAGCGAGAAAAACCCCACCATTGGAATGACAAATGAGCAAAACAGTAAATCACTTGGAGACAGGAAAAATGGTGTGAATTTTTGTTAGGATCAAACTCAACACATAATCGGTTGATTGAGAACTTAAAATGACAATGAAACTATGAACCAACTCTTGCAGCCTTGCAGCATATCAAATTCACACCTGATGATTAGCTTGAAAGAACCCAACAAATTTTGGGGATCCAGAGCGCCACAAGTCCAACAGCATGACCGCTCTCCTTTGCCTGTGTGTTTTTATACTTTGCCTCCAGAAGCTTCCTTAATAATCCACATGTCAATCACTAGATTACTTCGAGCAATCAGTGAGAACAGACAAAAGAGAAAATTACAGTTGCAATATCCCAGAACAATAAAAAACCAATTCAAGCAATCAGGAAAAGCAAGCAAATTCGCATCATTCCTGAGTGTGGGATTTCAGTCGTCCACCTTAAGAAACTGAGATGACTATGGTCAAACGGATTTTCTTAAAGAGCTGCTTGTTCTTTCTACGTTTTGTAATTTCTACAGTATCAACATTGCGTATAAAGTTAAACCAGTATGCCTGCCATTAATCAACAGCATAAAAGTTTAACTCGCCATATAAACAAAACAAACACCTTATAGATGACCTGCAAGCGAGCAGAACAACCTTCAAATGCAAAACTTGAAAAAAGATTATTAATCTAAAAGTCCGGTTCCTGGTATCATGTTGAGATTGAAGAATCACAGGGGATGACAAATGACGAATTATTTTCTCAAAAGGCACTCTTATGATCTAGTCCTCCAACAAGGGCTGCCAGCTACATTCCTACCACGATCAAGAGAAAGATTTCATTCCAACTAAGAGGCATGAATCACTCAGTAATGCACAAAAAAGAGTTTCACGGATGATTCACCAGGACTGCCAGCTTCATTCATGACTTTATCAAGTCTAAGGTTTTGTCTTATTAGGGGACAGGGATCATCTCGAACTATCACCAGAATGTGATCTCAAGAAAACCCAACGTAACAACTGCTCATATTCTATATGAGGAAAGCTCATGACAATTCAGATATTGGCTTTAGCCACTTGCATTGGGAAATGACTAAAGCTTGTGGAAGCTCCAAGTCTCCAAGCCCTCGAGGCTCAATTAGTTTGTTGCAGTCTCATGCGACAATTGATGAGCATCATGAAATCTCTATACTTTATAGGTATCTCGATCCTTTGAGCCCTGGGATGTCTGATAGTTCGCAACAAGCTATCACTATCAAGTTCCTTAAATCTTCAAATTTCAACGCATTTGGGAATTTTGCAAACTTTTGCAGGATGAAAATATCTCTAGGCTTTCAGTGTCATTTAGCTTCTCACGGTGGTTGATGTTTCAACCTTTTCAGGGTTTTCAATCACGATAGATCCAATAATCTCCCAAGGGAAGTGCAACCACAGATATCCAATATTACCAAAATATCCAGCCCGTCAAGACCGCGTTTCAATTAGACTCTTGCAGCTTGCAACATCAAAGCCCTCAAATTATTTAAACTAGAAAGGTCTGGTTATCTTTCGATGGATGTGCAATTAGAGATATCCAATCTTACCAATAATCAACCTCTCAAGGCCGTGAATTTCAACTAGATTCCCGCAGTCTGCAGCATAGAATCCCTTTAGACATTTTTAACTTGAAAGGTCTGTTTATCTTTTAATGGATTGAAAGGTCTGGTCATTTAGTAATGGACATGCATTTAAAGACATTAAACCTACCCAACAGATTCTTATTAATCAATCAAGACCTCGAACTTCAACTAGATTCTTGCAATTTGCAGTTTGAAATTCGAAGTCTTTAAACTGGAAAAGTCTGGTAATCTTTTAATAGAAGAGCACCCAGAGATATTCAATCTTGCCAGTAAATCCAACCTGTAAAGACCATGAATTTCAACTAGATTTCGACAATTTGTAGCATGGAATCTTTCAATGGATGCGCATCCAGAGATACAGAATGTTTCCAGATATTCTATATGTGTCAAAGCCTCAAACTTCAACTAAATTCTGGCAGTTGGCAGCATCTGATTCTTTTAGATTCTTTAAACTTGAAAGGCCAAGTGATTGAATGGACACGCAAACAGAGATATCCAAACTTACCAGACTCTTGCAGTTGGCAACACATGATAGCCTTAGATGTTTCGAACTCGAAAGGTCCCCTGAATTGCAACTAGATTCTTGCAACTAGCAGCGTTTGTTTCGAAGTTGTAAAGCAACACCTTCTGCATTCATTTTCTGCACAAGTGCATCTAAAGAGCCAAAATGATTGTCAATGGCCCAACCGAGGAAACCTTTTGGTGGCTCACCACCTCCTACCTGCATTACCCAACATATGAGGCCAGAGAGACATAGAGCGACCGCATGGATCAAAATTTGTCAAACATGCATTTACCTGAATTGGAGCAAGATTATTCCAGAATGTGGAGTGATTAACATGACCTGAACATAGGTTACATCCACAAAATCATAAGAGGAGCAAAATCAAAAGGATAATAACGGGCTAAGCGCCAAAAGCTAATCTTTAATAGTTGAATATGCACATAGAGAAAATAAAAAGAAAATTTGAGATCGTTGGATAGTTTATAAAAACAAGAAGAGGTAATAGAATGGCCGGCACAACCATCAGTGCTCTTAAAAAGAACACAAAATTTCCGCAAATTGTTTTCAAACAATAGACCTGAATGAAGCGCGTTTCAAATGTGATGAAGTTCTGTAAGAAAGTTCAATCACAGTCGTGGTTCAACATGCCTTTGCAAAACTGCATGAACTACCACCACAATGCCTATGAAGCTTACTTAAAAATGAATTGATAATATCTAATACAACATTTCACACTTGTTCATCACATGCTATAAATTATTCATATGAAACAAAACGAAACTCAGAAACCCTAATTTCACCTCTTTTCCCCTTCCATTTAGTTGGTAGCAACTGCAATAAGGATGTGATAAAAAATAAAACCTACCGATACAAAGACTAATCTAAGCAACAGTCTTCAGGATGGAAAGACAACCCTCAACAAATTTTTCCTCCTAGTCAGTAAGCACAACACAATCTGCATGTGGTCACATTCGAATGCCACCCATCCTCGCTAGTGCCATATATGTAACAGTCTGAATTTTCGATCCTTTTCCCGGGATTTAAGAAATGAATTTGACCAATGCACTATAGTGAGGTCTCACCCGGAAATGCGCATTCACGGGATGCTAACCTTAGGGGTAGGGCCGTTACGGGATTGAGTTCGCACGACCAAAGAACTCGACCTGGGTTCGACTTCGACCATATCGATTGACGAGGGAATGTTTTGAGCCAACCGAGACCGATCTATTTGATTGATCGTGTCCAAAGGGCACTAGTGACAGACCCTCGCAATTATATGACAACCGAGGTCGTCCCGGGTGGAGTAAACTTAAACGTGATTTGACTTAGTGTCGGTCACGGGTCGAGAGCGCGTACTTCTAGAGAGCCACCCGTTAGCCAGAGATAAGCTAAAGTTGCTATTGCTCGATTTTAGTCATTTCTTGGAATTCGGGCCCGGGAATCGAGAATTTTGAAAGTGACAATTTTGGACGGCCGATGACGTTTTTGGCTTGGCCAACCTTGGGGCCACCCATTTCTGCAAAAAAAATGGATTTCGGTCCGGGGCCGGAAAAATTACGGTTTTGCCCCTGTGGGCACCGAGGCTGGATTCGGAGGCCGTTTGAGGTTATTTTTTGCGGCCAAGGTCATTTTGGGGTGGCCACGCACATTTAGAGTGGTTTTGGCCAAAAATTGGAATTTCGACAAAAATTGGAAAAATAATATTATTTTATTCCCGAGACTTTGACGTGGATTTTCGAGGGCTTGCGCGATGAATTTCGCGATTCCGACGCCATATTATGTTGGCCACGCATATATGGAACGCGTATGTGCAAAAATTAGAATTTCGGTTCGAGATCGGAAAATTACGAAAATGCCCCTAGGCCATTTTTGATTAATTCCGAAAATTGGATTTAATTTTGGGATTAACCAAGGTGAGTTAGGCTTAACTCAGGTCTGGTCAACCATGGTTAAGAGCAAATGACCATTCTACCCCTAAATTATTGGATTGGATCAAATTTGGGCCCTTGGATTAGGGGCAAAATTGTCCAATGGGCCTAGATTGTGACACTTGGATCCCACTAAGCTATCTTTGACCTATTTGACCAGACCATCTCTCTCTCTCCTCTCAGCTATTTGGTTATTTTCCCCCGTGCAAGTTCTTCTTCTTCTCCGTTTCTTGTTCTTCAGACACGTTTCGCCACTTCCAGTCTTGTTCACGCCGGAACAAGATCCCTGCCGGCTGCCCCCACCAAGCCAACATCACCAGCAACCATTTCCACCTCGTGCGCCACCACGCCCCAGCTTTTGTCCAAAACAGCCTTGTTTCTCTGTTTTTCTCTTTCCCGGTCTGCAAACAGTACCGCCGGAGCTTCGCCGGAGCCCCGATCGCCGTTCCGTCGACACCCAGCCGTCCAGCTCGCCGTACGTCGCCGTCCAGCCAGTCCGTACAGTGTCCGTACGGTACTGTTCACCGTCCGTACGGATCACTGTTCACGCGGACCGTCGGACGCCGCGGCTGTCACCGGCACCTCGCCGGCACCGTCCCAGCCTGTCCGTACAGTGTCCGTACGAGTGTACTGTTCACCGCGTTCGTACGGCGCACTGTTCACGCCGTCCGTACATCGCCGGCGACGCTGCTGCCGCTGTCCCGGCCCGTTCCAGCCCCGTTCTGTCTCGCCTTTTTTGGGTAAGTGTCTCCCCCAAAAACTACCTAGGAGCTCGGGTATTTCTAGACTCGTTTAGGACTCGGTTTAGGCGATTTGTGACTGTTTTAGGGGCTGGTCGGGACTGATTTGAGTGACTGATTATTTGGTGGTTGCGGACTGATTAGGCGAAGAATTTTGAGGTTTAGGGAGCTTGGATTAGGGCTGTGATGTTGGGGTTTGATCGGAATTAATTTGTGCGATTAATTAATGGGATTGTGCCTTGAATGGAAATTTGTGCGTGGTTGTGTGATTGTGCTTGTTGGTTGGCTTGGAAATCGTTGTGGGCTGATTTGGTTTGTGCATTGGGCTGAATGTGGTGTGGTGGCGTGCCGTGTTTATGTAGCCGTGAAGTGTGGTGATATGGTGATGTGAATGTGCATTGAATTCGCGTGCCGAGAGCGTGTGGTTAAATGGTGCGTGTTTGTGTGACGAGAATGCGAAATTATGGAATGTGTGTGAAGTGTGTATGTTTGGCAGTGTGTGTTTGTGTGGTGGCGTGGTACGTGTGGAGAGTGTGGAACGAAGGTTTGGAAATGTGGGATTGGTTGGAAAGGATCCGTCCTGAGGCGTGTTCGTTTACGCGGGACGATGCCGTCCCCGACGAGGTGACGATGCCCGGCCCGACGAGGTGTCGATGCCTCGACGTGGTCGAAGACCGTTGGCCGATGCGTTTACGCGGACGCGGTAGAAGGAAAGTGTGTGTAGGATTCCGTCCCGAGGCGTGTACGTTTACGCGGGACGATGCCGTCCCCGACGAGGTGACGATGCCCGGCCCGACGGGGTGACGATGCCTGACGAGGTCAGAAGACCGTTGGCCTGATGCGTTTTACGCGGGCGCGGTAGTAGTGGAAAGGTTGAGAATGAGTGGGATTTGGCAAGACAAGCGAGAGGATTGTGGAAAGTGACGCATGGTGTGAGTAGCGTGCGAGTGTGTTTGTATCGCGTGATGTGATGCTTAATTATGGGGTAGAAACCGCTAGGCACGGTATGGGACGTGCCCAAGTGGTTTCGTCTTATAATTGAGGCACGCGCGTCCGTGATTCCTTGCTGTGATGTGTTGGCTGTGTTATTGTCTAACGTGCAGGAACGTGCGTGATGGATTCCAGGTAGGGTCGCATGTGATTGTTAGTTTGGCCGATCGTTGTGTGTTATGTGTGTTTTCGTCTGGCGATACGTGAGTGCCTACGTGGGGTTTGGGGTTGTACACTTATTGAGATTCGTCTCACGGTTGTATAACCGCCACTTTGAGACCCCGGCCCTAAACCCGGGAAGTGCGCCTTTTCTTTTGGAAGTCCGGGAGCGCTGTTGGTGCCCGGTGGAGCTCGCAGTGAGTTCCGAGTTTCAAGCCGAAATTGAGGCGGACGGACGAGGCGATCCTTAGGTTTTTCCCTAGGGTTTTAGGGGTTGTGTAAATCGGGTTGACCCATAGGGAAGTTAAGTTAACCAGACCTCGATCTTTTGTTTAAACGGTGACTGAGGATGTTAGTCTGTATTTATGTCTGGAATATGATGTTTGTATATTTGGTGTTGTATGAATATGTGGTTGCTGGATTGTTCTGTTGTTCTACCCCGTTGTCGTCATTATTTGTCCGGGGTTTTATTATTCGCTTCCGCATGTGGCTCTGATGTTTGGGTTGGGTCGGCGACGTTCCTGGGACGTCGCATCATTTCGACCGGAGCAGGGGATGTCGCGAGCTCGATGGGGTTCGGGGCGTGACAATATAGATCCAAAACTTGTCACTCCGTACATTCTATAGTACTATGGTTCATCAGGAGCACCAGCGCACCATTCACATCAATATGGAAAAAGCTATTGACAACCAATCAGACATTGGTGAGCTATCGCAGACAAATACTGAAAAACCAGGAACTTTGGCTCTAGAGGGGAGCTAACCCATCAAGGATTTGACATGAGCCGCAACTGCAGATAATAGATTTATCTTACCGAGTGCTGGCAAAGCCAGATCAGTCACATTATATACACTACAAATTTCCTCGCAAAGGATAGCTCATCTTTGAAATGTGCCGCTTCTTATATTCAATTGTCCATGAGTTAAATTCTCGACCACCTTTCACTCTCAATTTCATTGAATCTCAAGAAGCTTTCATCACAAATAACGCCTTCCTTCAGTGCACTAACCTTAAATGGAACAAAGTTGAGAGCATTTTTCCTTGTTCATCTGTTTCGCTGACGAATAAGACTATATGCTAAATTGCATTCAGCTACCGTGACCGAAAACCTTAACAGCTCAGCCTAGTCCTCGTCATTTCTCGAGGGAACACATTAAGTCACTAAGGATTGACCCCAAATGAGAAGTCAAGCACGTCCTCAGCAAATTTGACTCTGGCAATTCATTAAGGTCCTGTTTCTATGCAACGGCAGGCAACAGTTAAAGAACAATCCGAACACTCGATGAGTCCGCGTT